GCCAACACATAACCCCAAGGGATGCCATCGAGACTGGAGACTGACAACCCCCTGACAACCCTGACAACCCCAACCCCCCCCCCCCACGATACAGCCAACACATAACCTCAAGGGATGCCATCGAGACTGGAGAGTGACAACCCCCCAACCCCCTGACAAACCCCTCCCAATCCCCCAACGATACAGCCAACACATAACCTCAAGGGATGCCATCGAGACTGGAGAGTGACAACCCCCCAACCCCCTGACAAACCCCTCCCAATCCCCCAACGATACAGCCAACACATAACCTCAAGGGATGCCATCGAGACTGGAGAGTGACAACCCCCAAACCCCCTGACAAACCCCTCCCAATCCCCCAACCACACATCCGGGTAGTTACAATTATGACCAGCGTAGAAAATTACAGCATACAACTACTGGGCATTTCATTATGAAATAAAATGACCAATGGATCAAAACATACCTATTCAGATCGAACACTCGATAATCGATCATTTTCAAACATAGTAATTTCTTCTCAAAGTTGTCGTTCCTAACAATACAATTCGTGGATCCCGGATGTATAAAACTTGCACATGCTAATAGATGAACGATGATTGTAAGACCCACCTCGCGATACCGACAATTTGAACAAAACCATTATATGAGTTAAAACTTTAGAGATAAAATTTGTTGGAGACCAAGGTCAGATTTGTTGGAGACCAAGGTCAGATCTGAGAGAAAACCAGTTTGTTATCAACGACGAAATTACCTAAAGTACTAATGAAATGGAATTTCATATCGAGTGAGGAAAAAGGAAATTTTCCATTCAGATGTGACATGGATCTAACACAGGATTAACAGGGCAGTATTGTCACCAGGGAACGTGGCTCGAATTTGAGGGGAGGTTGTTGGAGTGGTACATGGGCCTTAACAGTGGAGGAGTGGTCTTGGCAGGGGGAGGGGCGTGGCAGTGGGCGATGGGCCCTGTGATTGGTCGAGGGCCTTTACAGAATGGAGAATGCAGTGAGGGAGGGGCCTTGGCAGTGGGAGTGTGGGTGGGTGGGGTGCACTGGGGGAGGGACCTTGGCAGTGGGAGTGTGGGTGGGGTGCAGACGATAAAACAACAGTAATGCATCATCGCAATAATTATGGTAATTTATCAAAATTTGCACGTGCAGATAAGAGAATCCAATGTGATAATATACGTGAAGCACGCACATTAGATAACCCCTTTTTCAGAGAAGAATGTATCTTTCCTGTGTTATCAGAACAAACACTCGCAGAAACCGTGTAGGATAAGAAGAAAGCTGTATTAGTGAGTAGCCTGTTGTTCCGGTGTAAAGAACTCTTCTCGTTATAACCATCCTTTTTAACCATAAAAGCCAGAAATAGATATTTACTTACCACCATTTCGAAATAAATCGTCTAACCTTACTTTAAACTAGATCGCTCCGAATAAAAACCGATAATAGAATAGCGCCTTTCTTTTTGTTAAGTCACAACAATGGGGTGTTCATCAATAAATATATACAAATATAAACAATTCAAAGAATTTTTGATGCAGAATTTGTGGATTTATTTGGAAAATATTGACAAACACTTTCTAGATTTTGGCACCCAGTGGTAGCACACTTGTCCTCCTTGGTCAGCGGGGTTTGAGAGCGACAATCTGTTATACGGAAGTTCGGCAGTCTGGTTGACAGGAGTTCGGCAGTCTGTTATAAAGTTGCTCGGTAGTCTGTTATACTGGAGTTCGGCAGTCTATTATAGGGATGCTTGATAATCTGTTATACGGTAGTTCGGCAGTCTGTTATAGAGATGCTTGATAATCTGTTATACGGTAGTTCGGCAGTTCAGCAGTCTGTTATACGGTAGTTCGGCAGTCTGTTATAGAGATGGTTGGTAATCTGTAATACTGGAGTTCGGCAGTCTGTTATAGAGATGCTTGATAATCTGTTATACTGTATTTCAGCAGTCTGTTATAGAGTAGTTCGGCGGTCTGTTATAGAGATGCTTGGTAATCTGTTATACGGTAGTTCGGCAGTCTGTTATAGAGATGCTTGATAATCTGTTATACTGTAGTTCAGCAGTCTGTTATAGAGATGCTTGATAATCTGTTATACGGTAGTTCGGCAGTCTGTTATAGAGATGCTTGATAATCTGTTATACGGTAGTTCGGCAGTTCAGCAGTCTGTTATACGGTAGTTCGGCAGTCTGTTATAGAGATGGTTGGTAATCTGTAATACTGTATTTCAGCAGTCTGTTATAGAGTAGTTCGGCGGTCTGTTATAGAGATGCTTGGTAATCTGTTATACGGTAGTTCGGCAGTCTGTTATAGAGATGCTTGATAATCTGTTATACTGTAGTTCAGCAGTCTGTTATAAAGATGCTTGATAATCTGTTATACTGTAGTTCAGCAGTCTGTTATAGAGATGCTTGATAATCTGTTATACTGTATTTCAGCAGTCTGTTATAGAGTAGTTCGGCGGTCTGTTATAGAGATGCTTGGTAATCTGTTATACGGTAGTTCGGCAGTCTGTTATAGAGATGCTTGATAATCTGTTATACTGTAGTTCAGCACTCTGTTATAGAGATGCTTGATAATCTGTTATACTGTAGTTCAGCAGTCTGTTATAGAGATGCTTGATAATCTGTTATACTGTAGTTCAGCAGTCTGTTATAGAGACGCTTGATAATCTGTTATACTGTAGTTCAGCAGTCTGTTATAGAGATGCTTGATAATCTGTTATACGGTAGTTCAGCAGTCTGTTATAGAGATGCTTGATAATCTGTTATACTGTAGTTCAGCAGTCTGTTATAGAGATGCTTGATAATCTGTTATACTGTAGTTCAGCAGTCTGTTATAGAGATGCTTGATAATCTGTTATACGGTAGTTCGGCAGTCTGTTATAGAGATGCTTGATAATCTGTTATACTGTAGTTCAGCAGTCTGTTATAGAGATGCTTGATAATCTGTTATACTGTAGTTCAGCAGTCTGTTATAGAGATGCTTGATAATCTGTTATACGGTAGTTCGGCAGTCTGTTATACTAGAGTTCGGCAGTTTGTTATAGAGATGCTTGATAATCTGTTATACGGTAGTTCGGCAGTCTGTTATAGAGATGCTTGATAATCTGTTATACGGTAGTTCGGCAGTCTGTTATAGAGATGCTTGATAATCTGTTATACGGTAGTTCGGCAGTCTGCTATAGAGATGCTTGATAATCTGTTATACGGTAGTTCGGCAGTCTGTTATAGAGATGCTTGGTAGTCTGTTATACGGTAGTTCGGCAGTCTGTTATAGAGATGCTTGATAATCTGTTATACGGTAGTTCAGCAGTCTGTTATAGAGATGCTTGATAATCTGTTATACTGTAGTTCAGCAGTCTGTTATAGAGATGCTTGATAATCTGTTATACGGTAGTTCGGCAGTCTGTTATACTGGAGTTCGGCAGTCTGTTATAGAGATGCTTGATAATCTGTTATACGGTAGTTCGGCAGTCTGTTATACTGTAGTTCAGCAGTCTGTTATAGAGATGCTTGATAATCTGTTATACGGTAGTTCAGCAGTCTGTTATAGAGATGCTTGATAATCTGTTATACTGGAGTTAGGCAGTCTGTTATACGGTAGTTCGGCAGTCTGTTATAGAGATGCTGGATAATCTGTTATACGGTAGTTCGGCAGTCTTGTACAGTTATAGAAGTGTTTGATATTGCCGAAGTTTTATCTGTGCTGACAATATAAAGCCTCTCGCTGATACTACACATACGGGCCTATGATTGACCACAGACTACAACCATCCTTCCCTGTTGAAGACGCTGGAACCTCACACACACTTTTCCCTCTTCCTTGAGTGACTTACTCACACTAACCTGATCCATCCCAGCACGGTTTTCCAGTTACATAGGGAGATGATATGCTAACGTTGGAATTTTACGTGTAGGTAATAATACCTATTCGTTCAAGTGAAAACAAATGCTTACACAAATACAGGATTCTATTTTTTCCATCAAATGCATTTAAGCACTAACGCGAAATACACGTGCACAAAATGAGAACAACGTTTTTATAAGTGAGCATTGTATAATCTAAAAAACTATCATGGTTCCAATTATGAATGCCAAAAGGAAAGATGTATGTATATAATGAAAGACTGGTGGAGTCGCGGAGAGCTCCAGGCCGTCAGTGGACCACTAAGTGTGTACTTATACGCTCTGTGAACAGGTCGCGCCAAACTCCGAGCGGAAGCTGTTTATATCTACCAGTGTCGTCTGCTCCAGCGAATTTCAAAGGCAACTTTGTGAGATGTGAATGACTAGGATTAACTTAGTTTGAACAGTATGTGAGCTATTGACAGCGTATTTGTTTAACCTGTGTTTTCTTCAGTCGGTGTAGCTTTTGTTCAGATTTTGTCCGTTTTTACAACCGTACTAAAACACGACCAGTCTAACATAGATGTTGTAAGCCATTCAGTGTGGATGAATCAACACTAGATGGGTCTGCTCAGGCCTGACACGACCCATTGTCCAGTGGGAAATCACAGGGACTGTTCCGGGGTCCTTGTAAACGGGCGACAGGAGTCAGACGCAAGACAGACATATATGTATGTGAAAACCGGAAGTGCATATTAATCTTTGTTTTTTTTTCTATAATTCGGGACAGACGGATCTATTGGGAAATATTTTTGGCGCAGATGGGTGTATGTATATTGGGGCAAGAAGAAAACGTTCGGACATAGCTAATTGCATTCCTGGAATTCCATTCTGCGAGAAAGGAATGCAGTTTATATAAGCATTATCTTATAAACAACGGGATATATCTACCTGTTACAGGACCTATCTCAAAATTAACAGTAAAGATAGAAACTACTCGGGAAGTTTTCATGACATGGTCTACGCTAAAATAACAAACGTGATAATGTTTTCACGGACAAAAAATTTAAAAAGTACATGAAGATTGATCCGTTTTCACAATGGATTTAGAACACGTTGGATTGCCCAGTAAATAGCTGATTCTAACCTCAATGACGTTCGGGACATGTCTATTCGTACTCCTGGTAAGTAGATAAAGAGTGTTTATATATTTCTAACTAATATGGTTTAGTCAAGATCTTGAATAAGGTTGTAAATAATTCATTCGTCAAACTACAAAACTTATTTTTCTCTGACACTTATTGAGTGGAGGCAGTGTTGATCGATACATACATATTGACCAAGTAACTCGGGACGCTTACATACATGTAGGGTGTTGATTCTCAACAGGTGTGTTGATAATACAACAGGTAACAAATTTGCATTATGCATATATGGACATCTGCTACCTGTGAAGTTATGCGCGGAATGTCGCGATCTGCGCTCCAGGTCCACATGATACCTGTAGCATGTGCAGTGCATAATTTATAGACTTTTAACAATGAAAGCGTTTACATATATAACGACGAAAGGTGAAACCCTGTAACGAAACATGACCAATCCACGGGGAAAAACACTGTTAAGGACCATCGACGTGTTGGCATGTTAACCATACACATGTAACACGTGTTTGTAGTTTTACATGTTAGGAACCACGTGTTTGTAGTGTTACATGTTAGGAACCACGTGTTTGTAGTGTTACATATCAGGAATCACGTGTTTGTAGTGTTACATGTTAGAAACCAGGTGTTTGTAGTGTTACATGTTAGGAACCACGTGTTTGTAGTGTTACATGTTAGGAACCACGTGTTTGTAGTGTTACATGTTAGGAACCACGTGTTTGTAATGTTACATGTTAGGAACCACGTGTTTGTAGTGTTACATGTTAGGAACCACGTGTTTGTAGTGCTACATGTAAGGAACCCCGTGTTTGTAGTGTTACATGTTAGGAACCACGTGTTTGTAGTTTTACATGTTAGGAACCACGTGTTTGTAGCGTTACATGTTAGGAACCACGTGTTTGTAGTGTTACATGTTATGAACCACGTGTTTGTAGTGTTACATGTTAGGAACCAGGTGTTTGTAGTGTTACATGTTATGAACCACGTGTTTGTAGTGTTACATGTTATGAACCAGGTGTTTGTAGTGTTACATGTTATGAACCACGTGTTTGTAGTGTTACATGTTAGGAACCAGGTGTTTGTAGTGTTACATGTTATGAACCACGTGTTTGTAGTGTTACATGTTATGAACCACGTGTTTGTAGTGTTACATGTTATGAACCAGGTGTTTGTAGTGTTACATGTTAGGAACCACGTGTTTGTAGTGTTACATGTTATGAACCAGGTGTTTGTAGTGTTACATGTTATGAACCACGTGTTTGTAGTGTTACATGTTATGAACCAGGTGTTTGTAGTGTTACATGTTAGGAACCACGTGTTTGTAGCGTTACATGTTAGGAACCACGTGTTTGTAGTGTTACATGTTAGGAACCACGTGTTTGTAGTGTTACATGTTAGGAACCACGTGTTTGTAGTGCTACATGTAAGGAACCCCGTGTTTGTAGTGTTACATGTTATGAACCAGGTGTTTGTAGTGTTACATGTTAGGAACCACGTGTTTCCGCTACATTTATAGAAGTTTTTTCTGTTAATCATTGAAAATAAAGTATGTGTCTAGTAACAATAACAGTTAACACATTATGTTCGGTATAATTTTCGAAAAATGGCTATAAAACATGAACACCTTGGAACAATTTCACGATATTTAAAGGAGATATGGTATGTCAACCGACGCGTGACCGTGTGGATTAAAGCGTGTCCAATGTCAGTGGAATGGTATGGGTAGGCACCTATTGTTATCACACGATGGTTTATACTATATTTGAACATTTGATTAAATTGTATCCAAAATTGATTTAAACATTTTCAATTACTGATCATTTTTTTTAAAATCAGGTATGTGTAGCATTTAAACAGCAGTTGATCACATAGCCAATTTCATGATGACGTGACAAAATCCGGCTTGTCGATAGAATTGATAATGTGATACAAGTTAATGGTGAGGGAGATGATGCAGTGATTGACCTCTTGGTTTCTGCTGTATTTATCATGTGGTTTTCTCAGGACCCAATGTTGTATGACACGGACAGCGAAATTCCTTCAGGAATGTACCCTGCATGGTTTACCTAAATTGTCTTGAATTTGAAACCACAAACTTTTTGTGTAACGTCTATACCAAATCTAGGCCAGCCTTTTGAATTTCCGTACGACGCATAACATTATACATTTATTATATTAAATACAAACGTTGAAAGGAATTATTGACGGTATTATATAAAATATATCTAATTCATAACTCGGAACGAAATATTAAAACTGTTTTGTCACGAAATATGTAAACCATGACAAAGTCCTGCTGTTTGTGTATCACTCTCACGCGGTAGGTTATAAATGTATTGAATATTTCGACAATCTAACCTGAAGTAACATTGAATTCTCTACACATAGCTGTATATTTGTATGTATGGGGAATTTTCCTGCTTGGTTTGTTGATGTTTTGATATCCAAATTCAATATTTCTGTCCGCTGATGGTGGCAGTTGAAGGACGTCATATATATTACAATGTAAAAAATGTTCTACAAACCGGCCAGTTCCGATGTAAACGATTTCAAATATATACATGTACTCTATTTAAGTTTATCACTGTCTAATTTTGTGAATACGTTCAATTTACCGTTTGAATATGGTGTCTTCTACAGTGATTCTAATAATGATAACGAGCAATAGACGGTGTACATGGTTTCTTTAATCTTGGAAACCATTGGATAACAGTTGCTTAAGCTTTATGGACAACTACCAATGAAATGTTACGAGAGCAGACAATGATTCACCCCCGACTTAGGTTCAATGTAGATAAAGAATTCACAAACGTTTTTTAATGAGAGAAAACACCGTACTTGGGCCATAAGGTTTTTCGACTTACTGAAAACATTTAACTGTAACTAAGCAATTGGTTAGATCTTTACTGGATTATACAAGCTCTGTTTAACCCCGTAAAAGATAAAGATGGAATAGAGACAGTACAACGAAGAGGGACCAATAGTTAACTGGGAAGGACTTAACAGAGAGGCTACGGAAACTTTCAAACCTTAACATACAGACGAATCAGACCCGAATATTTTGAAGAAGAGACAAGATATAAGATGCTATTCAGTTCGAGATAGAGTGGAATTTGAGTAAACCGTTCGAGATAGAGAGGATTTTTAGTAAACCATTCGCGATAGAGAAGATTTTCAGTAAACCGTTCGAGATAGAGAGGATTTTTAGTAAACCATTTGAAATAGAGAGTATTTTGAGTAAACCGTTCGAGATAGAGAGGATTTTCAGTAAACCGTTCGAGATAGAGAGGATTTTCAGCAAACTGTTCGAGATAGAGAGGCTTCTCAGTAAACAGTTCGAGATGGAGAGGATTTTCAGTAAACCGTTCGAGATAGAGAGGATTTTCAGTAAACCGTTCGCGATAGAGAGGATTTTCAGTAAACCGTTCGAGATAGAGAGGCTTCTCAGTAAACAGTTCGAGATGGAGAGGATTTTCAGTAAACCGTTCGAGATAGAGAGGATTTTCAGTAAACCATTCGAGATAGAGAAGATTTTCAGTAAACCGTTCGAGATAGAGAGGATTTTCAGTAAACCGTTCGAGATAGAGAGTAATCTTACTAAACAGATTTATGAATTGTTATTCATTTGTTTAGTGTGTCACCTTATACAATACTAAAAAAATGTTGGCAGATTTTATCAAATAAATTTCAGTGCCTAATAAATGTCTAAAACTTCAACATGTTACTATGTCACATTAATAAATATAACTTCTTTTATTTGTAAAGGTGCCACAATAGTGAATTGGGATTGAAAATAGATCATAGGACGATGTGTTCAGTAGGAGATCATGGGGAAATCTTAATGGTCTGACGTCGACTACCCTGGTCTGACGTCGACCACCCTGGTCTGACGTCAGCTACCCTGGTCTGACGATAGCTACCCTGGTCCAGGGACGTATAAACGATTATATTATACTTTCCTGCCTTATCTGACGTCGGCTACCCTGGTCTGACGTCGGCTACCCTGGTCTGACGTCGACTACCCTGGTCTGACGTCAGCTACCCTGGTCTGACGATAGCTACCCTGGTCTGACGTCAGCTACCCTGGTCTGACGTCGACTACCCTGGTCTGACGTCAGCTACCCTGGTCCAGGGACGTATAAATGATTATATTATACTTTCCTGCCTGGTCTGACGTCGGCTAACCTAGTCTGACGTCAGCTACCCTGGTCTGACGTCAGCTACCCTGATCTGACGTCACCTGCTCTGGTCTGACGTCAGCTACCCTGGTCCAGGGACGTATAAACGATTATATTATACTTTCCTGCCTGGTCTGACGTCGGCTAACCTAGTCTGACGTCAGCTACCCTGGTCTGACGTCGGCTACCTTGGTCTGACGTCAGCTACCCTGGTCCAGGGAGGTATAAACGATTATATTATACTTTCCTGCCTGGTCTGACGATAGCTACCCTGGTCTGACGTCGACTACCCTGGTTTTACGTCAGCTACCCTGGTCTGACGTCGGCTGTGCCAGTCCTTAGGACGACTTTTCGTGGTTTTTCGTCCCTTACTTGTGAAAATAACATCCGCGGTATGGTCCAATATTGGTACTGGATCCTAACAAACAAATGTTCATTGAATGCAAATTACTGGGATAGATATATGATCAATGAAGTAATAGCAACAGTACAGACACGTGAATTGTCAAATTTTCGCAGCAACCTGCCCCTCCATCAAGACACAAATATTACATAAATTACATCACATCATTAGAACACAGAACCCAAAAAGGGTCAAATTGATTGAAACTTCAAAAATCTCAAATAAAAGGTACGACAGAATCATGTACTCTTCATGGATGGAAAGGACTTCAGATGCTTTACCAAAATTATAAATTTCATGACCCCAGGGTCTAACATTTCCCCTTGAGGAGGTAAAGTTTACTATAGTTTATACAATTTTGAACATTATTTGTTTATTTTCTATTGGAAATAGTTCAAACCTGCATAGAATTATTAGTTTAAGATGACAGTATAATGGGATAC